ATCGCTCATATGTGGAAATCTAAAAAAAAATAAATAACAAAACAGAAACAGACTCAAAGACATAGAATACAAACTTGTGGTTGCCAGAGGGACAGGGGTTGGGAAGGGACAGACTGCAATTTCAAAATGTAGAATAGATAAACAAGATTGTACTGTGTAGCACAGGGAAATATATACAGGATCTTATGGTAGCTCACAGCGAAAGAGAATGTGACAATGAATGTATGTATGTTCATGTATAACTGAAAAATTGTGCTCTACACTGGAATTTGACACAACATTGTAAAATGACTATAACTCAATAAAAAAAGTTAAAAAAAATAAAAAATAAACAAATAGGATCTAATTAAACTTATAACCTTTTTCACAGCAAAGGAAACCATAAGCAAAACAAAAAGACAACCTGTGGAATGGGAGAAAATATTTGCAAAACATGAGACTGACAAGGGCTTAATTTCCAGAATATATAAACAGCTCATACAACTTAATAATAAAAAAAAAGCACTCCAATCCAAAAATGGGCAGAAGACTTAAACAAGTAATTTTCCAATAAGACATACTAATGGCCAATAGGCACATGAAAAAATGTTCAGTACCACGTTTATTATCAGAGAAATGCAAATCAAAATTACAATGAGTTTATCACCTCACACCAGTCAGAATGGCCATCATTCAAAAGTGCACAAATGATAAATGCTGGAGAGGGTGTGGAGAAAAGGGAACCCACCTACACTGCTGGTGGGAATGTAGTTTTGGTGCAGTCATTATGGAAAATAGTATGGAGATTCCTCAAAAGACTAAAAATAGACTTATTATTTGATCCGGCAATCCCACTACTGGGCATATATTCAAAGGAAACCTTAATTCAAAAAGATACATGCACCCCAATGTTCATAGCAGCACTATACACAATAGCCAAGACATGGAAACCACCTAAATATCTATCGACAAATGACTGGATAAAGAAGTTGTGGTATATTTATACAAAGAAATACAACTCAGCCATAAAAAAGAATAAAATAATGCCATTTGCAGCAACATGGATGGACCTGGAGATTGTCATTCTATGTGAAGTAAGCCAGAAAGAGAAAGAAAAAT